CACTACTCCAGTGAGCATCTGGATGAAGCTTTACGGAAAACCCCTTTCTTGATTTCCTGCATGTAACTTTAGCCACGCCCTTGTACCTTTTGGCAGAGATGCGGCGCTTACTTCGTACGACACAAAGCTGGACCACAGTTCCATAACCAATTTTACACCAGTATTTTTCTTGGAGATGGTCCTGGATAGCTTTGTACGTAACTTGCTTGCCCCTGGTACGATTTCCATCAAATGTTAAAACGCCTGTTCTTCTCCAAGCATCAGCGCCCACCTTTTTCGATTTGACAAATTCCTCGATGTCACTGCCAGGCTAACTTTTTTTGTTACTTTTCTTTTCAACACGCTGTTGGCTGCTTTCAATTTAGCAGCATCTCTTTTTCCTTTCCTTTTGATAGCTGCTCTTGCTTTTTGGATGCAATCTAATCCTTCCTTAGAAGCAAGTGAAGGAATCTCTGTGAGCATGGGTGTGGCAGATTCTTCAATTTCGGTGTCAGATACCACTTCATTTCCTTCGATCAATATTGGCTCATGCAACTAGAATTCGAGAAACGCCTGCCGTGAGACTTCGACAGCTCTCTCCTCTTCCTCACTTAGATCACAGTCGCTTGTTGACAAATAATAAGTGAAATCTAGTAACACTTGATGAAGAACTTCTGAGCTATAGAACTTTAAATATTGTGCAACATCATCAAAAAAGGAAAACCAGTTTAAACAGTTGTCTCTAAGCCACGACAGTAGTGTCTCATTTGGTGGTGCTGGATTCACAACACCAGCAACATCTTTGGACAGGTCATCTGGATTAAATCTTGTGCTGCCAGTAGAATGGTTGGATGATTGTCCCTCATCTGCAGCTTTGCTTTCACCATGTACTGTGGAAACACTACTTTTACTGTGACTATCGTTTTCATCAGAATCGCTTTCAATTACACTTTCTAAGTCACTCTCGTCTTCAAAACTTTCAGTGTCTGACACACTGTCTTCAATACCCATGGATCGTAAAAGAGCTGTTTCTTGAAGTTGCACAAGCTTAATGATCTCATCGTGAGTCTCTTGTGCATTCACAATTGCCTCTTTAACTTGGTTAATTTTGAGAGTGTTATTGTCTATACCATACTTTTTGTTGGCTTGCTTGCCAGATAACCCCCAAGTTGCAGCAGATTGTATGAGTCTTCTGTCTGACTCAGTTGATGCCAACTCGCACAAAGATTTCAGAGTCTCCTTGCTCATATGCTTCACACTCTTTTCATCTGGCATTGTCCTTGCAATCCAGTCAACGAAAGTTTTGTAATCCACATCTGACCTTAATTCCGTGACGTAGAGATGTTGCTACTTGAAAATAACAACGGGTAACTGCATAAGTCTTCTCACCGCCTTGTCGGATTGATATTTCTTTTCAGGAAACTGACTCTTGTAAACGTCGGACACTTTAACTATTCCTTTCTGAGATATGTGCAACGCCATGTTGATCAGTGCATCACATTCCACACACTGTTCTTTGTGATACCTAGTGCAATATTCGGCTCGATACCTTCTATACTCTTCTAAAGAGACAGCTGTCATACGTGAGAAACGCAACTGATCATCCTGTGAGCTTGCGTTCTGATCACTGAGGTTTAAACGAACATCTCTCACAAACTTAACAAATGGTCCCTCGTTTATAGCTCCAACAACCCCCACTGGTTCACATTTGCACTGGCTGTTCTGTTGTAAATCAGTGGGGGAAACTAAAAATCCTCACAGTTTTCTTTCAAATGTCCCTCTTTGTTGGCCTCAAGCTTTTTTATGTCATCACAGTCACGTGCAACAACTGGGTCTTGAATTCTCTTTTCTTGTTCTGTAGCTTGGCCATGGGCTGCAGCCAGTTCCCCAGCCTCCCTTAATACCTTTTCAATCTCTGTGACTTCTTGGTCGTCAACTGCCATTGTAGCGTTTTCAATCTCTGTGACATCTTTGTTGTCGACTTCCACTGTAGCGTTTTCAGTCTCCATGGCTTCTTTGTTCCGCCCTTTTGCCAATTCTTCAACACTTCCAACTTATTAAACTGGAACAAGTCCATCTCAAAATATTATTAAAACACCCCGAAGTTTGAATGAATCCTGAATAAAATGATGAACAGAGTTGTGATTCTTTTAATTGGCATGAGTACGGCATTAAAATGACCATAGGTGTGTCAAGGATGTCTTTGATAAGGAACATAAACAAAAACTAATTATTATTAAAAGTCAAGTCAATATGTACAACAACTGGCTACAGTGTTCGACATCTTTCATGACGGTGGAGTAAGTACTATCTTTGCAACATATTCATTGTTACCGTGGTTTTTGGAGGTTTTGTACCTGTATTACAACTGGTCCAACCATGATTTGACCACCCTCAAAACACAGCGTTTTCTGGATAGCTGATATGAAAAGCAAAAACAAGAAAAAAATCAACAACAACAATACAACAATTACCACCAAACATTTTGAAAAAATAGAAAATTTCAAATAATTTCTTGCAACATTTGGATTACCTCTAAGTTTAAATACATGCCCTACTGGAATCGCTATCAATAACTTCACAAACAGAAATCTATTTTACCCTTTTTATGGGCCCTTGTTACTTGCAAGTCTCACATTGAACTAAGTACACCATAGTTGCAAACCATTAAATGCTCATTCTACAAGTTGACTTAATCCACAAAAACTAGAAGTGACTCTAGAACATTTCATTACAGGATTAATTTTTATTGGTTTTGAAAACAATAAAAAAATCCCAGAAGCAAAATAGCAGGGAGTTCATTGGGCCAGGTTTTTCAAAGCTGTCCATGCACAGTTAACAAAAAGAAGTATAATATTTTCAGACTTAATAAGATCTTTCAAGGGTCAGTAGTTACTTGACCACTGGTCAATGACAATGAGGGTGCATTGTATTTTGAATTTAAAATATCAAACATCCCAAGAATTACACGGTCACTCTATGTTACCTTTTTTCCGACAAGTTACATTATTTTCCAGTATTGCAGAGGCTGGTTTGTCTGCTACAAGAAATATGGCAAAAATAGGCTTAGTATACAAATAATGTCAAGTTTAGTCAATGTTTGGTCGTGACATTGTCATCTGTTTAGGCATTTTGTAATCTCAGTTTGCAGCCAAAGTTTAATATAACAGTCATGTTTTGTTAAGTAATCGTTAGTTTGATAGTCCTTGACATTTGTATAAGTTTAGCAACCTTCACTTTATAATGTATCAATAAATTATTTTTGCCTTTTGCAAATCAAGCTCCATCCTTATTCACACTGTTTGTATAAAACAATCGCTTTTGTCCAGTTAAATATCGACAAATTAATCTGACCCTGGGAAAGCTTTCTACCTACCAAAGTCTGCAAATTCCCCCACCATGTTGGGCTTCCCTAGCCTGAGATGTTACATGAAAAGGTAATCAAATACCATAAGTCATCATTACTGTCTACCCACATTTAATATAATTTCAACTACAGTAGCTCATATGTTACTTTTCTTTGCTTCTACTAATGCACTTATCAGCGGTCATCCCAGGGGGCTGACTCCGGGGTACCCCTGGGCATTTGCACAATGACGTTTACAAATCCCCCCTACCCAAAATCAATGTTTTTTTTTTTACAAAAAGATGGAGAAAGCTTTTATCTGGCGCAATTTTATTTGAGTGGCCTCCCTGTCAATATCATCTACTGTCTCATTACTCGTGAGGTCATTGATCATGCAGGTCGAATGTAAATAAAATCGTGCTAGCATTGCTGGATTTTATCTACCTTTCCCTAATATAGTGTGCCTTAACTATACATAATTTGAAAACAGAAAAAAATCGTTTTTGCTATGTTTAATACATAGTTACAAGAAGAAATAAGTTAGTTAAAATACCTTCCTGAATAGTTTGAATGCCTTCATCCGTTGTGTCTTCATGATCTGGAGTGGGAACTTTGTTTTTGATGACGAAGATGGTGGATGATGGAAGCTCCCCAAAGATATCTTCATCCACCTCAGTGCCGTCTTCAGTGAGGATCTCAACCTCTGAATTTAACTCAAGTTTTTCTTTGCCTGATGTGAATAAAATTCAATGAATATTATTAAACGTTGCATGTCTTCACTTGTATTTGAATATTCTATGTTTTTTTATACGAGTCAGTAATTTATTATTAAAAATTGTTACAAGCTTTTTTAATATTTCTCTACCTGCAAAATATTAACTTGTTTGGGGGGGGGGGGCAAACACGGCAAAATTAATACAGTGAATGTATGGGGAAAATGGGGAGTTTGATGCGCGATAAAATGAGGACCGTTGACATTCTTAAATTTCTGTGAATTGCAAACTAAAGATACTAGCTAAAAGAGTTTACCGATTAAATTTGAAGGGGATCAGTTGTCTGGGAAGCGAGAAATCTTACTTTTAGTTTTTCATACAAATGCTTATAAACAATTTCCCCCTCGAACGGCTGTTCCAGTTTCAAACGTATATATGAAACCGTGAAAGGGTCTATCGAAGGCGACGGTTTCACAATCGACAAGAACAGAAAAGCTGTGGTTGTTTTTTTAATACGACATACAGCTTCATAATTTATGGAAAAACTCATCCAACGACTATTTGAATATATGTAAACAAAGACGATCGCCAAAGGATGAGAAGATTTAAATATATAAATATTTATAATCTGCTAGTGCAGCATTCTGTCACGCCATGAACTTAAGAAATAAATGAATAAACAGAAATCGCTTACCTTTTGAAACAAGTTCAGCATAGTTTTCGGCCACCACGAACTTTTTCTTCGACCTGTCCTCACTCCAAACTTTAAAAAGGACCTACAGGAACAGAATAAACACATTTGAAGGTGGCTCAGTTGGCATGCTCACTTAGTGGAAAATATGAATAATTCAAACAGATGAGGAGACTATAAATCAACTCCTATATCATGAATATTCAACACCTATATCATGAAAAGATTAGCATAAAAGAGATCACTGTTTTCTTCTGGAAAATATTTTCGCTGTGTTAGCGAAGGATGACTTCAAAAAGGCACAGATTAAACAAAAGAACGTAAGACACGCTAACCTTCTTTCCCGACGCCATTTTGAAGCCGTTCCAGAGTGTTGTGCCCAGTCCCTCCCTGTCGCGGCTAGCGTTACAGCCGCGCTAAAAATCCCCGCTCAGTTTGACAAATTGTTACTGTCCCCGTCCTCGCGGCGACAGCAGGGAACTTAAGATGGAGACGTTTTCTGGGCGACGGTGACCGGACTGGTAGAGAAAGCCTGGAACTAAGGCAGCCGTCGCTTCCCGTCAAAAATCGAACATTAAGATCGCAGTGAACTCAGAAGGACGGCGCCTTTAATTGGAAGAATACCAAAGAGGAAAATATGGCTTTACATAAAGGAATAAGAGAATAAATATTTGCTATGCAGACAACATGTATCGGATGAAGAGTTTCTCGTTTTGGAGGAAAATTATGAGTCCAAAAATCCCGCTTTTCCTCGGGACAGTTACGATCCGTTGGGGCTAAAAAACATGCGGGCTGCAGCTGAGTGCAAGGCAGAATTTCGTGTTGAAAAAAAAAAAGATCTCCACAGGCTTGCCGAAACCTTGCAAATTCTAGGAACATTAAAATGCTACCAAGGAACCGTACTCTTAGTTTGGTATTGAAATAACTCCCGGGAAATACTTGCATGCAACAACAACAACAACGGCAACAACTTTATTTCAGTATTGCCATGTTAGTACATGGCATGACGTACTATTCTATATAATTTTCAATGCGTTTCATTTATACGATATTCTAACGAAAAGAGCGAACTAAAAACACACAATTAAAATATCGGAGTTCATATTTTTTGTCTGGATACTTTTATTTGGCTCGTGGGAAAATTTTGTCCATGTCAAGCTCACTTACGGATGGCTGTTTGCCAAGTTGGATGGATCTTGACCCTGTGACATGAAAACATAGAAACATTCAAAGATGCAAGTTTAGATAACAGAGCTTGGAAATCGAGCTTGAAATGTTCCTCAAAGAAAACAAGGACAATTTAAGAACGATAATCTGCAAAATTGTGGTTGCTAAACTCAACAAACCTGATTGAAATGAAAGTTAAATACTCACGTTTTCGCCACAACGCCAAACAGACCAGTTTCACGTCGCCGACGGGACCACAACGGCAAGGTGGTGAGCATGAACATGCGCAATATCCAACAAATGATGATGTCACGTCCGGTTGAAGTTGCCGTCGCCCCGAAAACGTCTCTATCTTAAGTTCCCTAGCGTTACAAAGGCGTTACTCCACGGCTATGTCCCCGTTACTCCCCCGCTATGTCCCGGGGGTCAGGGGGCCATGGTTTACATTGACTGGTGCATAACCAAAAAGTCACCTGAGATCTTTCACTTCAGAATTATTCAGTTCGGTTATAAAATCTCTAGTTTCACGTGCTGTGAGACAATGTGGAAAAGGCTGGTACATAAGAATCCTGTCCACTGCACCATCCTGCCTTTCCTTTAGTTTAACATTAATCAGAAGAAGCGGTTGGGTTGGCTGTAGCCACTCACTGATACCCCTGGACTGTCAATGACTTGACGTGCTGACTTGTCTCCTCGTGTATAAACCCATGTACTTCCGTCATATAACTGGATCATACACTCCATGTCTATGCGACTCTTTTCCCTGGAAGCACCAAGCAGTTGATGAAAAAACTGGGATGCTTCCTCCTTGCCAACGATGGCTTTATGGCCAGGTGTTGATTTAAGCTGGCAGAATAGCCCAGCTTCTGTAAATTCGTTGACAAATAAAGGGTTATCCTCTTTTGCCTCCACATGCAACCTTATCGGCTGTGCACAGCCCTGTTGAAAGGCAGGGGACTTCCCTTCCCCAGGGTCACACAAGCAGATCATGTAGAGGTTTATAGTTTCTGCATGTATTCTACAGTCAACCTTGACTGTTGAGGGCCCCGTCAAGCATGCCACAGTTGGCAAGACACTGGCTAGCAGAATGTCTCTTGTAGTAATAATAATAACATTATTTATATAGCACTCATATCCTGAGCTCATGGCACTTTGCAATGTAGAAAAGGGGAAAATGAAATAATGTACATATCACAAGCATGCAAAATCATTAAAAATCTATTTACAATCTGTAACCGAAGTCACGCGTACTAGTGTCCAACTGCTTTATTTTAGAAATCACACTCCTACGGTACTGTACAACCAAAAATACAAAGAATACGAAATTACGAAAAATGTAGAAATCAGTACAAAATAACAAATACATCAAAGAAAACGGAAAAGCGTACAAATAGCGTATGACTAAAATTTACCTTAACGGTTTCTTGACTTAACGTTAAAAGGAATGAGCTGTTCTTGACCGATAAAAACTGTAAAAAACACTGACCGATAAGACTAAGTTTATACCAAAAAACTTGACAGATTACGTAACATTATGCAACGATGGTGACACCAAAAAGAAAGCAAACAATATAACAAAAGAAAACTATAAACAATTACAACTAATTGCAAGTAGACGCGAACCAAAAAAAAAAAGAAAACCCTAAGTTCTAGAAGTTTCGCTTTAACACACCGGCCTCGAAAGGCAGACGGGCATTCAAGCCTTGCCTTTCCTAAGAAAACTAAGCGAAACTAGTAAACAAAACTTATTTAGAATATTCAAAAACCTTATCTACAATTAACATCTTAATTGCTTTACACAGTTCGCAACGTATTTATGAGCTAAGTGATCACTGCAATCAGGGAACTTCCTTTCCAGCAACTGGCTCCTTTTTGTCCAAAACCTCGAAGAGGTCTGTCTGTCCTTACAAGTTACATTGTGTTAAAAGCTGGGATTAATTATCGGCAGCTTCCAGCAGCAAGCATATCTTTCTAATATCTCGCTTCAAAATTGCTCTGGCGGTTCTAACTGTAGCTTGTCGCACCGCACCATAGCGATCTGGTGTAACTTCTTCAACAACACCCATTGGCCACTGTCCACGCGGACTGTGCTCATTAGCTATGAGAACCAAATCTCCAACAGCTACATTCCGGCGCGGGCGAATCCACTTCTGCCTTTCTTGAAGAGATAACAAGTATTCATCTACCCATCTTCTCCAAAAGATGTTACTCAGGTATTGTGCTTGTCTCCAGCATTTCTTGTACTTGTCTGTGGACGCAGTGGAGAAGTTACCAGGGGCAACACATGCATTACGGTGAGACAACAAAAGGTGATTCGGCGTTAATGGTAGTGAAAGAAAATGACGTTGGAGAACCTCTTACTCCTAACTCATCCAGAAGGCGTCGTAGACACAAGGTGGTGTCAGAACCATCATCAATGAAAGCATATGTCTCCACTTCTCGTCCACCTTTAGCAGAAACTCGGACGGGCACAATCCTCAAACTAATTCTGTTTTTTCCGGCATTTGTCGCATAATCCGCCCTGGCCTCGATGTGGTGTGGACTTGCTTCAGCCAGATCTTCACGAGTCGCTGTTGGCCCGGTAACAGGATCTTCAGAATCACCTCGCCTTCTTGAATTCTCATTTGAAGCTATGGGAGCGCTCAATGAATTAGGTGGGTGCAGCAAGGAATGGTGCCTTTCTCTACAGCCACTCAGCAAGCAAGCATCAAGACTCCTGCATCGTCTAGCGATGTGATTAGGCTTCAAACAATTTTCACACAGATTTTGTTTCCTAACAAAGTCCTTCCTTTGAATATATCGTTTGTCCTGGAACTTAAAACACTTCTCCAATTCATGTCTTCCATCGCAAAACTTGCATTTGACTTGACCATCCGTTGCTGACCTCTGATTTGAGCGTTTGCTGTTGGCTGCATTGGCTTGGTTACTAACATCCTTCTCAACTTGAGTCAAAGCAAGCACAGTACCATCACCATCAGCTGCTTTCCTTGGTTGTTTTGTGACTCTTGACTCTCCAAGCTTGAATCCAACTAACTTCCCGAACTCAGTGTTTGCTATCAGAGCCCTTTTCTCGAGAAAGTCTGCCAAATGAGAGAAGGTTGGTTCAGAACCCATTTCCAAAATCTTCCCCGACTCATCCGCCCATTTTGCCTGCATGTGCACAGGAAGACGCATAACGATCTTCTTCAGAGTGTCCAAAGAGTTTATATCAGCTTGATAGCTTAATTCCGCAGAATTCAGCAAACAGATTCGCATGTCCCTTGCGAGCTGTAAGAGTTTCTCTCCATCAGAAGATTTTAGCTGTGGTCCTTTGACAACTTTATCGATGAACGATCGGATGATGACATGACGTTGTCCAAAATTCTTTCCAAGAATTTCACGAGCAGCTTTGTATCCTTCAGGCCCTGGCAGAATTACACAGTTTTCAATTGCCTCCTTAGCTTTGCCAGTGCAATACTGGATCAGATAAGATAGCATTACATTGTCATCTGTAATCGAAGATTCCACGTTTAGCTCAAAATTCTTAATAAATCTGGGGTACCTTGAAGGATCGCCATCAAAGTACAAGAATTCCCGCTTTGGCATGTCCAACTTCTCAAGTCCAAGAACAACTTTATCGATAGACATCTGCTGTTGCTCCATAATCCTTTGAAATTTAACCGTTGTTTCGTCAGTGCTATTTCCAGTAACATTCTTCGCTTCCGGTATGTCAGCTTTCACTTCCGGTAAAGCGTGCGGTTTGGTTTCCGGTAAAACGCATTTCTCAACATCCGGTTGACCAGGAACGGCGGAAAGTGACAATCCTTCCAAATATTTCCTCACGTTCTCGTGACCTCTGACTGATCCTTCGGAAGAAAAAACAGAGTCAAAATCAACCTGCTCCCCCAGTTTGGCTTCAATCTCAGCCTGTTCTGCGTCAATCCTGGCTAACGTTAATTCGCTTCGAATGTTCAAACGTTCCTTCTCGGCTGACAAACGCGTATTTTCTTCTTGTAGTCGTAACGCAATTTCACTTTCTTTTATCTCTTGTTCAGCCAGAAGCCTTTTCACTCTAAGCTGAGCCATTGTACACTTGACATTCCGCGCCGATAACTGACTCCCTCCTTTAGAACTCTTTTTCCTTGGGTGTAATTGACTTGGCGTTTTATCGCCGCCACTTGCATGATCTTGAGTCGCATTAGGAGTTTTCGTTTCCAATAAATCACTACGCGCGCCCGCGTGGGAAACTGAAGGATTTGTATTCTGAGTTCGTTGAAAGGCACCCTCTAATCGTACAACAGGCGTTTTGGAGCTCAAATCAAACCCAGAAATATTCGCAATTCCTTCACCGTAAACTCCTCGACTTATTGGGGTGTAAACATCGTTTAACCATTCCTTGTATTTGTTTTCAAACATCTGCATTCGATAAACATCCTTGGCGTAGTCATGAGTAATATGCTCTCTATCCTCTTGCTCCCCAGACAAATGATACCACTGCGCACAAGCCCGTTTAAGCTTCTCGAATATGCTCACCAGCGAACTGTGCTTTTCAACAACTTCTTTAGAAGCAATTTGCTCCAAGAGTAGCGGATCTAATTCATTTATAATCCGCGTAATGTGTCCACGGTAGGCTATAATCGTCCGTCCCAAGCTTTCTCTTTCACCAACCGAAGACATCGTTAATTGTAATTTCAACTTGGAACTCCTTTGATCTGTCGCCAACCAGAGCGGCCAACTTTTACCAAAGTCGATCGTTAAGTACTATGTAACCGAAGTCACGCGTATTAGTGTCCAACCGCTTTATTTTAGAAATCACACTCCTACGGTACTGTACCACCAAAAATACAAAGAATACGAAATTACGAAAAATGTAGAAATCAGTACAAAATAACAAATACATCAAAGAAAACGGAAAAGCGTACAAATGGCGTATGACTAAAATTTACCTTAACAGTTTCTTGACTTAACGGTAAAAGGAATGAGCTGTTCTTGACCGATAAAAACTGTAAAAAACACTGACCGATAAGACTAAGTTTATACCAAAAAACTTGACAGATTACGTAACATTATGCAACGATGGTGACACCAAAAAGAAAGCAAACAATATAACAAAAGAAAACTATAAACAATTACAACTAATTGCAAGTAGACGCGAACAAAAAAAAAAAGAAAACCCTAAGTTCTAGAAGTTTCGCTTTAACACAATCATTATATTACAGGTCTTAAACTCGTAAAGTTTGCAAAAACAATGACCCACTCTCTATTAATTGCCTAAAAAGATATGTCTTCAATTCTTTCGTAAAACCAGTGAAAGATGGTGACTTACGCAAATCTAATGGTAGTGAATTTCACAGTTAAGGGGCACACACTGAAAAAGCCTTGTCCCCCCATAAGTTTTCGTGATTGATCGAGGTTGGTCTAACAGCTGTGTAGATGCGGACTGCAAGACCCTGGAATGCGATTGATAACTCAGTCTGTCCGCCAGATAGCTAGGGGAAAGGTTGTTAAGTGATTTGAAAACTAGCAAAAGAATTTTAAAAACAATACGATAACTAACCGGAAGCCAGTGAAGGTCAAATAAGACAGGTGTAATGTCATCAAATTTACGAGTCTGAGTAACGATTCTGGCAGCAGTGTTCTGAACGTATTGAAGCTTCTTCAAGTGTGTAGTGTTGTTGGCCTTACCAAATGTATCCAACCATTCACTTATGACGGTTGGACAGATTTCCTCCTACGGAATGCTAACTTCTTTGCCTTGTTTCCTGACTGAAGGGGCTTCAGCTGCTGTTCAGGACCATTTGGCTGATGGTGGAAACGCTGAAGCCATATCTGAAATGACAACCAAAAGAAATTCAATACATTGTTTATCGAGTTCCTCCGAAGGTTTCTCACCACCTCCGAGTGATAATCTACACTCTTTATTCATTTACCAATTTCCACAAGGACCTAACACATGTCGACTTTTTCAAACTATACTTTTTTCTATGGAGACCGCCCCATTAATATTTTGCAACTTAATCCAAGGAATGTCAGTCGTGCATTCCAATTTATCACTACTAGCTGTAAACCATTCTCCTTAATCTTGTGCATTTGAATTTTCCAAAAAATTAAGCCAGGGCCCAGGTTTATCATGATTTGGACGAATAGTTTAGTCTTCTGTTTACTTAGAGAGTACTTAGGCTAACATTTTGGTGGTTCAGCTTGTTATTAGTGTTAGTTATTCCACCCATTCTTCTTGGATATGGGATTGGCTGTAGTCACACTACTATAACTGGCCATTAATTTTAACCCTTGTGCAACATAAAGAAACATTGTGTGTGTGAACATTGGACTTCCTTGAAATTGCCCTTGATCAGATGAAAATCCATGGACAAATTAAACACGCATAAAAGAATAATAATTGCTAATATGACAGTTCCTAGGGTGTTAGCAAGAACCGATAGCTGCTTGACTATAAATCATGACAGAGAAAAGGAAGTGTAACAAACACTAAAAATAAAGAGCTGAACACATGCTCTGGTTCACAGGACTGAAAGATGCATCAGTTTCACAATGGTGATTAACTGAAATAAACGCTTTCCCTGTTTGAGGAATAGGCCCTTGGCTTGTTTACATTGAAGGGTCT